TCGTCCAGAGGTAATTATGTAAGAATTCCCATTTCAGATTTAGTTTAGTCATGTGAATTTTCCAAGATATAATGTACACAGTTAGCAAATCTTCTTATAAATATATGTCTAATTGGTGGTAATGTTCCTAATTTTCCCTACTAACTAGCAATTAATATTTATGTAATATTAGCAAAGATTCTAGAATAAACTTTCATAGAATCTATGTAAAATAGGGAGAGAAAATGAGAGGAAAGGGAATTCATAATTAATTGCTATCTATGAGACATTTGGATTTTCCCTATCAATTGAGAACAAGCCATAGAATCACAGTCCCTGAAATATTCGAATTCATTTTTTCTCCTTTAGATACAAAGCATATGTTGTCATTACTTTACTTCTGAGTCCATAAATGATGGTTTGTGACTTCAATCTTGAAGCTTTCTATATGAATATTTTTTCCCAATTCGGGTTAAGAATGAGTGTCATTCATTGTGCCAATGCAGTGGAGAAGAAGGGAGAATTCATACTTGTTGGACATTCTTGACCTGAACCACGTTTGAGAGACTGAACATTCAAGTGTGAACTGAATATTGAGAAGACAATCAGCTGACAATAGAAGATCAAATCAGAAAAAACCTCCATGAGAGTTGTTCAAAATAATGCAAAATTAATTAATATATAGGAACAAGCCTGAATATTTAGCACACTGTCAAAATGATCAAATTGATTGTGAGTATATGGAACATAACTACAACAGAAAGAAGAACCAGACTAGTAGGAGAGCTATAGAAGTATGGGATAACCATATACAACCCCTTACCTATTCTTTTGGTGTCATTAAAATCTGGTTCAGGCTCAGTGTATGGCTTTAATTCTTCTTCTTCATGACCAACATTCATCCATCGGTCCTTCATTATTTGCTGGAAAATAAAATAAATTTGAAATATCACATTTTGTGCAAGTTTTTTTTTAATGTAAAGTATTTTAAATGGGAGAAACTAGATGAAATAAAAGTAAAAGGCATAACAACAACAACAATAATAGCAGCAACAGCAGCAGCTAATAGTATGTGTTGCCAAAGTCTCCAACAGACCTAGTTTCCAACTGTCTAGCTTCCAATAGACCTCACAATGGGTTGTTGTAGGTTTTTCAGGCTATATGGCCATATTCTAGAAGCATTCTCTTCTGATGTTTCACCTGCATCTATGTCAGGCATCCTCAGAGGTTGTGAGGTCTGTTGAAAACTAGGAAAATTGGATTTATATCTCTGTGGAATGTCCAGGGTGGGAATGCTTCTAGAACATGGCCATATAGCCCGAAAAATCTACAACAACCCAGTGATTCCGGCCATGAAAGCCTTCGACAATAGACTTCACAATCTCTGAGGATGTCTGCTATAGATGTGGGTAAAACATCAGAACATGGCCATACAGCCTGGAAAACTCACAGCAACCCAGTTAATATTATACCTAATACCTGTGCAAATGCAAATAGTAGTATCTTCAGTTTATTCATTGACAGCTCTAGCTAGATCTGAGAAAGACTGCTTGCGCTTCCAATCATTATACATTGTTCGATACTAGGTGAGCTAATGGTCTTGAGAAGGTTCAGAGAGTTTGCCTTCCTGAAAAGAGTTAGGAGCTTAGAACTCATGGAAAGATTGGGTAGCTGGATTGGTCTCCCATTCTCCAGTAACTCCTAAAGATCTAGACATCTCTAGAGTCAAACTTGAGATAAATTTGAGATGGTAGCAGATCTATTTTGCAAAAGAGATGTTAATCATTTGGATACCTAATCTACATCTGAGGCAGGGCTGAGATATTGCCAAAAAGAACAGGCAGTTTCTGTTTTCCCATAAGACAGAAAGGAGCTACTGGAGAAGGGGACCATTCTTTCCAAGAGTTCTAAGCTTCTAACATAAGCATACAGCACACATAAATACAATAAAGGCTTCAAAGATTACAGAAATATATTGTCGAAGGCTTTCATGGCTGGAATCACTGGGCTGTTGTAGGGTTTTCGGGCTATATGGCCATGTTTTAGAAGCATTCTCTCCTGATGTTTCACCTGCATCTATGGCAAGCATCCTCAGAGGTTTTGAGGTTGTGACCTCACAACCTCTGAGGATGCTTAGATGCAGGTGAAACGTCAGGAGAGAATGCTTCTAGAACATGGCCATATAGCCCGAAAAACATAGAACAACCCTTACAGAAATGTACTTATTTCGTTCCTCATCCAACTGGAGAACATTCCTTCTAATCAGCAAAAGCTTTTAAAATACTTTGGGTATGGTATCTTTGGGATGGACTACAAATAATGGGGATAAACCAGGTGTAAAAACACCTTCCGAATTCCTTCCAGGCCATGCCCACTCTGAGAAAAAGGGTATGATATTTTACATAACTTAAATCAACACATTAAACAACATATTAAGTATTCATTGTCCTTTTCAGGGTGTTTTTGAGCAGAGAGCTGCATTTGTCTTATCAAGTACAATTGATCTTTCTACTTCTGAGTAACAGGTGTTAACTTTTCAGAAACATATTTTTCCAGGTCAGAAGAGCAACAGAAGTCATTAGATCCCAACACTGAAATATTTAAAGGTTTCTCTTCCTTGTTATGACAGCATTATTACATATTCTGTATCCACAGTTGATATTCAGTAAAAATTGTTACTATTATCCATGCTTGAGATTGCAGGAGTAAAGCATATTGTCTGGATTTTGAAGCACAAATAAAAAGATGCTCTAAATAAGCCAAAGTTAAATTTCACCTTATTAAAAGAGGTTTCGTAATTCAAATAATAAATGCTCTATCATATAATAACAACTTAAAATATACACAGCTTAAGAAACCATACTACACATGCAGGTAAATGAAATATCCTTTCATGTTTACAAGGTGTACTGCAAACATTTTAATTTGCTTTATAAATAATATATGGAGAAAAAGTAAGGGGAACAGCAACTTTATATTCTAAAGATGAGTTAAGATTCCAACTGCAGTGCTCAACTTCAGTTACACAAAACTGTTCCTAAAAACAGACTGCAGAAATAGAAGTTTGATACATAAAGTGACATGCAAAACAGAACTGTTCAAATGCTTTCACTTTGAAGAAACGAAAGCAACTAGTTTGTAAAACAAAAATATGTTTTTTCAGGCAAGAACTGAAATTAAACAATCTAATGCTTTTGGATAACAAGTGTTAGTCCGTATTGGAACAAGAGAGGTTCAACAACGTGCTCAGATCAATTTACCAGCTTTTTCAATTTAGTTATTCCATCAAGCCATCTCTGCTGAAAAGCAATTTTTGCATTCTAGCACAATTGCTCAGAGTGGAACAGGTTGACAGGCACATTTTCTCTGTTCTACAGCATTCAATGACTCCGCTTTGAACACAGTATCTAAGGCAACAATCCATATTTGGACCAGCAAAGGCCAATTCTTTCAAGGCTGTTAGTCTTGCGACAGTACTAATACAGGAAGAACTGTACAGTATCACTGAGACCCTAGTGGCACAATGGGTTAAACCCTTGTGCTGGCAGGACCGCTGACCAAAAGGTCACAGTTCAAATCTGGGCAGCTGAGTGAGCTCCCAATGGTCAGCTCCAGCTTCTCATGTGGGGACATGAGAGAAGCCTCCCACAGGATGGTAAAACATCCAGGCATCCCCTGGGCAACATACTTGCAGACGGCCAATTCTCTCACACCAAAAGTGACTTGCAGTTTCTCAAGTCACTCCTGACATGAAAAAATCCGAGTGCTAACTATTATAGCCAAGTTCCAACAGCTGCACCCAGGATTAAAAAGACAGAGAGAAAAGAACACAGTAACAAACAACTGGGGAAAAGTCAACATGAAAAACCTATTCAAAAGACCATAAAAGGCCCAGGATCACATATAGTTCTTAACTCTATTTTTGTGGCTCTTGCTCATTTCAGTTTTTAAAAGGTAATGCCTGTTACTCCATATTCTCTTTTCTTGTTCTAATATTTCAGGCAGATGTGAACTTCTTCCTAGAAAGTTTCATATACTTCATCAGTTAAATGCCATTAAGACATGCATAGGAGTCATGGAAAGAAGCATGCAAGGCACTGGAGTTCTGTTTCTAAAATAGCAAATCTTCATTCTCCCACCAAATCCAGCTCTAGGATCTAGAAGATTTACTACTTTAGGATCTAGACTATCTTCACCACCATAAGAGCTTGAAATGTGTTTAACTCACTGCCACTGTAAATCCGGCATTCTTACGTAGTATACAGTTGTTGTCCTACTAGTAGTTTCTGTGTTTATGCCATGCAGTAAAAATATACCTAGCTGGAACGCTAAAATATTAGTCAATAGCACCATTTGCACACATCTATTTATTTATTTATTTATTTATTTATTTATTTTTGTTGTTGTTGTTGTATGCCTGGAAGTTGTTTCTGATTCATGGTGACCTTGTTGCAATTCTTCTTCAGAGGGGTTTGTTTTTCCTTTCCTCTGAGGCTGAGAGACTTTCTTAAGGTCACTCAGTGGGTTCCATAGCTGAACTGAGATTTGAATCCTTGTGCAACAGGCAAAGCATTATACCATTCTGACTCTCGAATCAAAACTACTTCCCAAAATATATAATAGATGTGCCCCAAAGGCCATAGAGAAATAACATTTATGTGAGTATAAATTCATGGAGTCACCATAAATCAAAGGTACACACATACATACCAACATCCTTAAATTGACCGCTCATGAGCCTTATTACTTCATCTTATAAATAAAATATAACAATGAGTGCTAGACATCTGTGAAATAGAAGCAATTCCTGCACATTGTACTGGCAATCAACCAGACGAATAATGATATCAATATAGAGTCATAGTTGACCAAGGTTATATTTCCCAGTTTGTGTTCAAGTTATCAATGTCAGAAAGTGATTAAATGAGATTAATTTGGTAGAACACTATCCACAGCTGCAAAGGCAAACCTATGAAGATGAAAGAAAGGTCACTGATATTATACTTCTGAAACCATTTTATCATCTAGTATACTTTTATTGAAGTTAAGTAGTAAAGTAGTAAATCTTTCCTGGATGCAACCAGAGAACAAGATGACTGGGTGGTGCTCCATCTTCCTGCAACTGCTACACAACTGAAATATTTTAGTTAAATGGAGACAACAAACTAAAAGTCAAACATGAGACTGATGCTCATTGAAATAGCTTATTATAAAACTTAAAGAGTATTTTTAATTGAAATGATTATGGAACTTTCCTTTTTGAGGGCAGTTAGCATTTCTTAAAAATTAAATATATGCTAAACTTCATGCCATTAACACAAAATATTTTTAGCATTAGAATAATAGCCTCCTACTAAAAAGTGATTAAAAAATAACACTTAGCTACATAAAAGCAGGATTCATTTAGTTGTTTAATATTTGTAAATGGATTTAAAATAATAAGGGGTATTTGTAAATAATTTATATCCTTTGACATGATGCTGGCTTGGCTCCCATCTTGAAGAACCTGTTTTGTTTAACCATACATACTTCCTTTACAACAATACAATGTTAAAGCACTTGAACAGCAATTGCACATTCATTACGAAAAAAATACACAAATAGATTGCACAGCGTACCCCCTCCCCCCAAAAAAATTTGTGTCTTGGTTTCTAGGCCTGGTTTAGGAGTTATTTAGGACACTCATTCAGAAAATTGCATTGGAAAGACCGTATCTCATTTCTTAAATATGGTCATCATAATTTTTTATGGCTGACCGGTATATGACATATGTTTTGCATCTTAAAAACTAGAGTTGATACAGGGAAACTGGTGCCATTTTTGGAATCAGCAGGTCAAATATACCCAGAAACAGGCTGAACATGTGAGGTATCAAAATGTGTGTTGAATAGTGTTATTCCTTGTATCTTTTATGCTATTTTATTAAAATTGACTAAAGAATTTATTAAATAATCATGACTGAGGAACTTACTTCTAAACTCCCTCTCTTGACTGGATTCAATACAAGTAATTTTTTCAGTAGATTTTCACAGTCTGTGGACATGTAGAATGGTATCCGGTACTTCCCTCGTAATACTCGTTCTCTCAGTTCCTTTACAAAAACCAAACAAAGAAAAAACTATTACAGACACAGAAAAGTTGAAGACGAGACGTTGATATTGCAAATCTCAACTGTACCTTTAAATTTTGCCCATCAAATGGTAATGATCCACTGACGAGAGTGTAAAGAATAACTCCTAGACTCCAGACATCCACTTCGGGGCCATCGTATTTCTTTCCTTGAAAGAGTTCAGGGGCAGCATATGGAGGGCTTCCACAAAAAGTGTCCAGTTTGTTGCCAAGAGTAAATTCATTGCTAAACCCAAAATCTGCAATTTTAATATTCATGTCTCCATCAAGAAGAAGGTTTTCAGCCTGCAAGAGGATTATTATTATTATTATTATTATTATTATTATTATTATTATTATTATTTCTATCCTGCTTTTCTCCCATGGGTTGGATTCAAAGCAGCATACAAAATTTAAAAACATAAAAACATATACATCAGTGCATAAAATTGTATACTGAAGGGAAATATTTTAAAAGTTACCAAATGTTGTAGGTAGAACTATTCGTTCTATGTATTTTGCTACCTCTTACAATACAAAACCCAGAATGCAGGACTCATAGGACTTTAGTTATTTATACTTTTTTTTTTCAAAGGAAAGGATATTTGTTCAGGCCTTGGTGGTGGATTATGTGTTTGCAAAATGTTCATTGTTTCGTGTTCTGTTTACACTGTAAGCTGTTAATGTATGTACATTTTAAAAAGTTATTTATACTTGAGATCCAAAAATTGCATCAATTACAAGAGGGGTGAGCAATGCACTGCTCCACTGTAAATGCTGTGCCGACTGTGTTGGTGTAATGGCAGAAATCACCTAATTTCCCCAGTGGTTCTCAACCTTCCTAATGCCGCAACCCCTTAATACAGCTCCTCATGTTGTGGTGACCCCCAAACCATAAAATTATTTTTGTCGTTACTTCATAACTGTAATTTTGCTACTGTTATGAATTTTAATGTAAATATCTGAAATGTAGGATGTATTTTCATTCACTGGACTAAATTTGGCACAAATACCTGATACACCGGAATTTGAATACTGGTGGGGTTGGGGGTGGATTGATTTTGTCGTTTGGGAGCTATAGGCTTTGGAATTTATAGTTCACCTACAGTCAAAGTCCATTCTGAACTCCACCAACAATGGAATTGAACCAGTCTTGGCACACAGAACTCCCATGATCAACAGAAAGTACTGGAAGGGTTTGGTGGGCATTGATCTTAAGATTTGAAGTAGTAGTTCATCTAGATCCAGAGAACACTGTGAACTCAAACAATGATGGCTCTAGACCACACTTGGCACGAATATTCATTATGTCCAAATGTGAACACCGGTAGAGTTTGGGGAAAATAGATTTGATATTTGGGAGTTGCAGTTGCTGGGATTTATAGTTCACCTACAATCAAAGAGCGTTCTGAACCCCACCAACGATAGAATTGGACCAAACTTCCCATAGAGAACCCCCATGACCAACAGAAAATACTGTGTTTTCTGGTGGTCTTTGGCGACCCCCCCCCCCCGCCCAGAGGTCCTGACCCCCAGGGTGAGAAACGCTACTTTAAGACAAGGCTGCTGGGAGAGCAAATCTTGCTTTAGAGTAAAATGGCTTGAAATGAAGTTGCAAAATCTATGTGCATAACCTATGCACATTGTTCAAATAAAAATGGGCAGGAAATTGAGGGGAATGATACAGCAAGAGTCCCCAAAAATGATTAAAAGATGTTGCATGCAGCTTGCACGCAACCCCTTCTTCCTCTTCTTTAGTGAGAATCTTGTATGGATTTTGCGGAGCTTTTATATCTACACTAAAAGTACAACTGCAGCTTTAACATCTTTCTGAGACTTCTGTAGAATCTGAAAGCACAACAAGGATTTATTTTTCTTTGCAAAATGCTACTCTGCTTCCTCAAATTTTAGGAATAAAAATGTAAATAGAAATAAAATTAACAAAAATGTATTATTTAGGAAATAAAACAACACTCGGAATTATAGAGTTGGGAGAGACCTTGTGGGCCATCCAGTCCAACCCCACGCCAAGAAGCAGGAAAATCTCCTTCAAAGCACCCCTGACAGATGGCCATCCAGCCTCTGTTTAAAAGCCTCCAAAGAAGGAGCCTCCACCACACTCTGGGGCAGAGAGTTCCACTGCTGAACAGCTCTCACAGTCAGGAAGTTCTTCCTAATGTTCAGGTGGAATCTCCTTTCCTGTAGTTTGAAGCCATTGTTCTACGTCCTAGTCTCCAGGGCAGCAGAAAACAAGCTTGCTCCCTCCTCCCTATGACTTCCCCTCACATATTTATACATGGCCCTCATCGTGTCTCCTCTCAGCCTTGTTTTATGAAGGCTTTCCTACAATATCTCCCCATTTCAATTGACTTCAAAGAAAAATTAAATAGAAAAGATAGTCTAATTGTACCTTCTTGAACAAATATAGTAAAAGATTACTCTTGCTTTAAAAGCTTTGCTCTCTATTTTTAGTATTGTAAATCTTACTTCTAGAATATCATTTTCTGGTTTCATGTTTTTTCACCAAATCTAATAATCCTTACTCACTCAGAGTATTCTGGCTCCCACCACAATGATATTTATCTCAAGCCAATCCCACGGATCGGCCCATAGGCAAAAGAAGAGAGCTACATCACTTTAAAAGGGAGAATTCAGATTTTGCATCAGGAGTTGTACATGACAGAGAGTCTGTGCAAGGGCTTAAGGCTCACTTTCATGGAAGCGAATGGGGAATTTGGCAGCGAATCTTAGAAAACAACTAGAGAGAGGAAAAAGAGCGGAACACAGGCCAGAAAGGCAGATGTTACATAACGCTACAATGGGAAATGAGGTGAGTCATCAGACACTGAAAGGATTGGACAGATTTTGGTGATGTTAAAACAGAATTACTAGCTGCCTTTTCACTGTCAAACTACAAAGAAGCATACACATTAAAGGTACATGTATGTGGATTCATATACACCTCCTATTAAGGCTGGGACACCAATTGTACCTTTGTTTCCCAACTCCAAACCACTAATTACAGTCATTATAAAAAGCAATTGTGCAATTTTTAACTGTAGCTAATTCTAGCTAGTGAAAATAACTGTGCAAATCCCTTACTAACAAAGATCTTATCACACATCAGAGATTGAAGATGTATCTAAGAAGGAATTATTTGTTGTGGTTTTGAATGAATGAGCCTTTGGGGTGGAGTAAAACACCATGTTGCATGATCCTGTCTCCTCTCTAGAGAAGAGCCAGCATTATATCTGCAGAGAGACATAGGCCCCTTCCACACAGCTGAATAAAATCCCACATTATCTGCTTTATACTGGAATATACGGCAGTGTGGACTTAAGATAACCCAGTTCAAAGCAGATACTGTGGGTTATTCTGCCTTGATATTCTGGGTTATATGGCTGTGTGGAAGGATCCATTAATAAATTTCCAAAGGACTGGAAAAATTAGTCACTATTTCTTTAGGGAGGAAAAGAGCAACTCTCCTATGAAGAAAAGTTGTAAGATTGGAGGCTGTTTAAGAGGCAAATAAGGAGAGATTTCATGGATGCATATAAAATTATGCATGGTATGGAGAAATTGTGTGGGAGAAGGTTTGCTGCCTCTCTCATAACACAGTAACCAAGTGTCTACCAGAGCTGAAAGGCAGATGATTCAGATGAATAAAGAAAGTAGTTCTTAATATAGCATATGGGTAAACCATGGAATTTACTACTATGGGTTGCAGGGATATAAGATCTCACAATGCAATGTTATTTTACAAGTTCATGCATATAAATGCTCTGTTCGTTTTGAGTGACATCATAATTCAAAATCCGCTGGACGAATTGCCGCCAAATTTGGCCACAAGACACCTACTAATCCAAGGAGTGACCATCACTAAAAAAATTGATTTTGTTATTTGGGAGTTGTACTTGCTGGGATTTATAGTTCACCTACAATCAAAGAGCATTCTGAACTCCACCAATGATCAAATTGAACCAGACTTGGCATACAGGACTCCCATGACCAATAGAAAGGGTTTGGTGGGCATTGACCTTGAGTTTTGGATTTCACCTAGATCTAGAGAACACTGTGAACTCAAACAATGATGGATCTGGACCAACCTTGGCCCAATTACTCAATATGCCCAAATATGAATACAGATGGAGTTTGGGGGAAACAGACCTTGACATTTGAGAGTTGTAGTTACTGGGATTTATAGTTCACCTACAATCAAAGAGCATTCTGAACCCACAAATGAGAGAATTGGGGCAAACTTCCCATACAGAATCCCCATGACCAACAGAAAATATTTAAGGCCATCAAGTCCAAATCCCTTAACCAGGGCAAGAAAACATAATGAAAGCCGCTGCCTTAAGGCCATCCCGTCCAACTCCCTTCACCAGGGCAAAAAAAACATAATCAAAGCCTCCTGACAAAGAGATCCAGCCATAGATATAGATAGATATATGATTCACACACACACATATATAGTATATGACAGATATAGTATCATAGATTTGAAAGGGACCCCTAAAGAAGGACAATTATATGTCGCATGTTCCAGAGTAGGCAAACCAGACAATCTCCACATCACTGACAAAGAAACAACAAGAAATACTGTTTACCCACAAGCATAAAGAAATTGCATATATTAGAAATCAACACCTTCTCATTACTTTATTATCCAGACCAGCAGACTGGGCCACAGCTCTGCTCCATCAGCATTTCAATTCTTAAAGGAAGACAAATGAACTTACCTTGAGATCCCGGTGAACAATACACTTCTGATGACAGTACTGCACCGCAGACACTATCTGAAAAATCATTTCATTATTATAATATGGAAACACACAAGAATCCTCAGGAGAGCATTTGATATTTATATTGTGCTGCAGCACATTCAACATATTTTCACATACATTCTCCTGATGTATCTCTTAAATGAGGTTATATAATATTATCCATTTATTGCTAGAGAACTCATATGGAGAGGCGAAATGATGTGTCTTAAGCCTGCCTAAAGCCTCATTTAGATGTCAGGTTTAACACCATCATACTTTAAATGTGGATTGTTTCATAGAAATGATAATTTACATTAACCATAGATAATGGGTTTAACTGTAAGAGCTTTTTATTAAAAGCAGTATTTGGTTTAAACATAAGAGCTTTTCATTGAAAACAGTAGAAAAAAACTTTTTCAGATCTTTTTTGCATGGTGACTTCAGAATGATTCATAGATTGAGATCTTCCGGGGAGGTCCTGCTCTCAGCCCCACTGGCCTCACAGGTGCGTATGGTGGGGATGAGAGATAGGGCCTTCTCGGTGGTGGTCCCATGGCTGTGGAACTCCCTCCCAAGTGAAATCAGGTCGGCCCCCTCCTTCCTGGCCTTTAGGAGACAGCTAAAGACCTGGCTGTGGGACCAAGTGTTTGGCCTATCATAGGAATATTTAAAGTTAAGGTAAAAGTTGAAAGTTCAATGACCCAGGACAGTTTACAGAAAACGGCTATGTCTTTGTATGGTATGTGATGTTATATATTATGTGATGTGTTTAATAATGTTTTATCAGGGGAGGGTCAATTTTGAAGTTTTATGCTGTTTTTTATCGATGGCACTGAATTGTTGCCAACACTGTGATCTGCCCCGAGTCCCCTTCAGGATTGAGAAGGGCAGTATACAAATACCGCAAATAAATAAATAATAAGGGTAAAATCTGAGCTCAGTGTTCACTTCATGCTTTATTTATCGTATCAGAAGCAAACCGAGGGTATAGTTGTAATGTATTTAAAAAAACACAAAGTTTAAAAAACTTGGCATTATACCAAATGTAGCTGGCCACTTGGAGTGCCTGTGGTGTTGCTATAAGAAGATCTTCAATTGTGCATGTGGCAGGGTTCAGACCGCATAGTAATAGGTGGTCATGGACTCCACTTTGTAGCCCCATTTCTTAAGGTTGGCTCTGCATAGTCTATTTAGCACCTTCCAAGTTGCCCAGTCTTCTGTGTGCCCAGGGTGAGTCTCTCATTTGGTATCAGCCATGGCTTAAGATTCTGGGTTTTAGCCTGCCACTTTTGGGCTAGCACTTGCTGAGGTGTTCCTGCGAGTATCTCTGTAGTATTTCTTGATTTAAGGCATTGGTGCGCTGCCTGATATCCGAACAGGGGATGGGCCACAGATGTCATTGCTTTCACACTACAAGATACATAGTTTATTATGGTGTGGGAAAGTACTTCAGATCAGGAGGTTTTTCACACATCCTGATTGGGTCCTGGGGGTGTCAACCTTCTGCCGAATATTCAAAAAAAATTAAATCAATGAAAAATGAATGCTTTTAGGGGCAATGGGAGGCATTTTCTGCCAGACAGTTTTATTATGTTTTGGATGTGGGCATCTTGGCCAGTTTTAAAACCTCGTGTAGAATGGCATCTGAAAACAGTCAGCAAGTCCTCTGTCAAAAGTGAGGATTCTCTGTATTACCAGAGGTTTTAAGACTGCCACTCCCATAGCCCCTCACCATTGGGCCAACTGAGTCTTCTTGGATGGATAAATACTCTTCCACCCCTGCTCAAAGCAAAAGAGGGGTTTTCAAAGCAGTTTTGTCTCTTAATCGTTGTAAGAAATTAGTCCCTATCCCTTTAACCTTATTATACCTTACTTGTAATGTAAAATGAAACATTTAAATGTTTATTTTACAGATAATTAATTTTTTTCAGAAACTATATTAATGACATTAGAGGGGGAACTTATAAACTATGTAATTTCATAGGGCAATTATAGTTTTAATAATCAAAAGAATGATTATTTATTTAGTTACATTTAAAAAGTAAAAAGTATGGAGCCCCAGTGGCACAATGGGTTAAATTCTTATGCTGGCAGACTGCTGACCAAAAGGCTGGTGGTTCGAATCTGGGGAGTGGGGTGAGCTCCCATCTGTCAGCTCCAGCTTCCCATGCAAGGACATGAGAGAAGCCTCCCACAGAATGGTAAAACATCCAGGTATCCCCGTGCAGACGGCCAATTCTCTCACACCAGAAGCGACCTGCAGTTTCTCAAGTCGCTTCTGACACAAAAAAAGTAATAATCTGGCAAAAAAAGTCCACCACATATTCTCATCTTTCATACTGAGAAAAGCAGAAAGTAATGTAAATCAACACATTTTTAATTACCCAACTAATCACTCTGTTTTCCCATCCATTTCCAAATTTATTCTGAGCCAGAAACAAATCTATGAAAGGACTCTGCAAATGGAGAGTATCTCATTAGGCATAATAAGTCACAACAGAAGTCACATCTCCAAACACTACTCAAGCAAATTGTATGTTTATCAGTAAATCCATTTGATTTACCTGACAAAATATGATTCAGCAAACACTACTAAAACTCTCTACAATGGAAACTTTAAACATTTGTCTTGCAGTTCTTGAAACATTTCAAAATAGTGTGGGGATGATCAACGACCAGCCAATGGAAACCCTTGGAGTGTTTATCCACAGCTCAATGGCACTACGATCCTAAAGTAGCCACAATGACCATTTCTAAGAGAAAATTAACTACAGTTTCATTTTTTAAAAGTATTTGATTTTGAAAGATCTAAAGAAATTTCCACTAATATAGATTTTTGTTGTTGTTGTAGGCACACTATCTTACATATCCTTAATAACATTTATTTATTTCATACCTGCCTAAATTTTGCACGTGCTTCTTTCTCTTTCATTCTTCCATGTGCAACCAAGTAATCAAAAACTTCTCCTAAAGCGACACAAAATAATATTACGCTGTAGAGATGAAATACGATTATTAATTAACCCCTATTTTAATGATATTGAGAATTATTATTACTATTTCATAAAACCTCTAAAACATATAGATTATTAGTATTTATCCCCTCCCCTCTCCACCCTTCATTCAACAAATAAATCTTAGGACTCTAACAAGATTTATTGCCACAGATTTATTTCCTATGAGAAAGTGAACAGAATATTTTAAGTAATTCGTGGCATTTCCCTTCAGATATTATTCTTGTGAAGAAAAATGGGTGGCTAGCTACATTTTTATAAACAGGGACAGAAAGGTAGTCTACATCGATGTGTGATTATACTGATTACGTAAGGTGATACTCAGTCCAATTTGATTCTGATAACGTATTGCCACTTCACTGCCAAATGGATCTCTTTCTGAACCACAAGCAGGAATCTCTGGGTAATGCTGCTGCTAATGCCGCTCAGATTCATCATTCATGCTGAGGCCAATCTGTGGCAAGTGACTCTGGAATTCATGGGCTTCCATTACAACCATCCCTCTGTCCCATCTGATATCTGTCTCCACTTGTTTAGCAGGGCATTGTGCCTTTCGCTTCCATGGTGCTGTGGGTCATGCACTAGTTACCAAAAAGTGGATCGCAGATATCATATTGTGCCAGTTCCACATTCAAAACTCTCACATTTCAGACTGACCATGGAAAAACAGAACGGAATGTTTACTTACCTCCACTGGCATATTCCATTACTAAGTATAGGGTTTTCTCTGTTTCAATAACTTCAAATAATTTAACTGCAATTTAAAAAAAAGACAATAATCACTTTCACATAAAGAAGCATAGAAAATTGGAAAACACAGCTGGAGATAGCTTATGTCTTACAGTGATATATCTTATCTATGCTCTTAAAAATAAATCAATGCTGAAGCAAAGTTTTAGCTTCACAGATGAAATTCATAGAAACAAATTCATCCACTGATTTGCTTTAACTAAATGGTGCTAGACTGGATCTATATTGTAGAATTAATGTAGTTTATTACCACTTTAACTGCACTGGCTCAATGCTATGGGATCCTAGGATTTGTAGTTTGGCAGGGCATATAAAGATCTTGTAAAACTACAACTCTCATGATTCCACAGTATTGAGTCACATCAGTTAAAAATCATGTCAAACTGCATTCATTCAGCAGTGTCCATGCACCCTTAGAACTAGTGTATATTTTGATTACACTAAAGATACGGTTTAAGTCAGGGGTCCTCAAACTTTTTCACGGTTCACGGTTCCCCAGACTGTTGAAGGGCAGTGAACATAAACTGTGACCAGACTTTTGGGCCTCTGTAGTATTTTAAAGATTGGGACGTCTATTTATGTTTGTCAAATGTCAAGGGTTTGCAAATTTATGAAAAAAATTATAGGATTAATTTCCACCAGGGTTTGAATCTAAGCATATCTAGCAAATCTATGCCTATCATAGACTGTTTCCTGTGTAGAAAGGAAACTCTTCTCTCCTTTTGAGAATAATGGTTTGAACTGGGTTTTGCCAGACAAAGTGAAAGTCATTATATTTTATGGACATCATTAAACCCATTGGTTGACCTAAAGGCATATTCTACTTTAAGCATGACCTCATCAAATTGTATAAAACCACAACTTGATGAGGTCACGTTTAACCTTTCTGTGAAGCCATTGAATCTTCAAAGAACTATAAGAAAACCAGTCTCAATAGTTACATTCTTCTAGGTAGGAATTCAGAAATATAGTTAATTATTTTCTGGAACAGAGAATATGACTCCTTTACTTATGAAACCAAGCGTTTGTAAGAAATGAAAAGGACAATTTAACAGTAACCAAAAAGATGCAACGAGGACTTGCTAACAATTGTGGAACTACTGACTAGTGGGATAAGAAGCTGAAAAGACACAAATGGGAAAAATTGAATGTTACAGCACGAAAATGCCAGAATCTTACCAATATTAGGATGGTTCAATATCTTCATTATTCGTACTTCTCGGAATAACTGTTTATAAAAGAAAAAAAATATACTCAGTGATTTTTATACAGGCATATGCTAATGATTTCAGTAAAAGGTGCAGTTCAAAACTACAAATAGTTTAGCACTCAGGTCAAGGATAGACAAAATGTGGACTGTGAGCCACAAGTTGTAGCTTACAGCATTTTATGGCCCTTAATGCCCTCTTCTAAGTTTTCGCCTCAAAATATTCCCTTGGAGCCACTAGGTGCAATCCTGCCATGCATCTGACCTACCCAAAATGTCAGAGGTCTAGAAATAGCCTTAAAAAGTTGATGGGGTAACATTTGAAGAAAAAAAGTTTTTTAAAAAAGCAGTAGCTGGTCTGAGTGACCACAATCAGCTCATAACACTATGTAATATGATTTTTGTTCTTAGGTTACAAATCTAATTTCTTAATTGGTTCTATCATTAAAAACATGAAAAAAGTTTATTAAACTCCAGCACATTTTCTTACAGTTTTGCAATGAATATCGCATAAAGTCTCAACCAATCCAATACAGTTTGTGGCTGCCCAAAAAGATGTTTCTGGGGTATAACAACTACTTACAAAGTAAGTACCATGCAATTAAACAGAAATAATAGTTTCTAACCAGGAACAGAATATTTTTTTCAAATTTGTTACATAGTATAATCTACAATATTTGTTCAGCCATCTCATAAACTAACGTTTCACACTGATTTCAAAGGAACTAAAGTTGAATGTACAGTTTGGATACAATTTTACAGGCTAAGGTGAAGAAGCTTTGGATCTTTGGAAGTTTTGGATTATAATTCTTTGGCTTCCCACTGGCTGTGCTGCTTATTATTTTTCAAACATTAGAAGGGTAATGCTTTGAGTTATGAGCAATACACATCAGCCCAAGCATTATTAACTTCATCCAGACTTGATTCTGGTTACCAACAAAGGCTGAGCCTATCAATTTCTCAGAATGGTGACAAAGAGGTACTTCACCATTATTGTGGCATGATTTCATTTTTGCTGCCATGATAACATCTTACAGAGGCCTGGCTTCATAGTTTGGTGGAGCACAAGAGCTCTATAGCAGAGAATTATAAATATCCCTCCATAAACTTCAGTTCTAGGATCACACACATTCTTTCCCTTTAACATTAAGTCTAGTCGTGTTCGACTCTGGGGGGTGGTGCTCATCTCCATTTCTAAACTGAAGAGCTGGTGTTGTCTGTAGATGCCTCCTAGGTCATGTGCATGCAGCGCCATTGCTTTCCCGCTGAAGCAGTACCTATAAATCTACTCACATTTGCATATTTTGGAACTAGGTTGGCAGAAGCTGGAGCTAAGAGCGGGAGCTCACACTACTCCCAGGATTCGAACCAGTGACCTTTCAGTCAGCAAGTTCAGCAGTTCAGCAGTTTAAACCACTGTGCCACCAGGGGCTCCCTAAAAGGCCTTAGTTATATACAAAACACCTTAGTTATGTACAAAACAAGTAAGCAAATCAGAAACGTTTCCAATATGGTAAAATGAGCATTTCTTATAGGCGAGTTTAAAGATATAGTACACTTATTCAAGCAAGATCTTAATGAAGAAAGGATGTCATCTGTAATATGAAGCACTGAAACAATATCCTAGGTGATCCTTCCTGAATAAACAAATGGGAACTTTGCTATATTGGCAGATGAAGATCAATAATAACTGAGCACTTTATTTCAGAAGTTTTTATTTTGATTCCAGCAGATGAGGAAAGGCCCTCCTTCCATCCCAGTATTGGCTGAACTTAATCTAATTCCTCACTACCATGCTTATTTCCTTGTGTGGTGTTGCCTTTTAAGATTGTAAACCTAAGAATGGGAAATTGTCGAATTAACACTTTTTTAAAGCAGTCTTGTGAGCTGTTTTTGGCCTAAATGCAGAGTATAAATATGTTTAATAGAGGTGCCTTGGACTCTGCTTAAAGCCACAAAGGGATGCTTGAAATATCAAGAGATTAGCTCTTACTGTACTGTGTGTCTCCACATATGACTGACAAACGCACAAAGATAAACTATTCATCAAGCAAATGTACAGCTCACAAATCAGAACAGCTACCACACAGAAGCTGTTTTAAGCAATATTGTCATATCCACCTGTACAGAAGTGATTATAATAATATGATTATAACTGTATTTGTGTTTGCATTGGTTGCCCTAAGGCTGGAGCGGCCTAGCTGTGAGGAGTGTGTTACCATGGAAACGATGCTGCAGAGGAGTGGGAGGAGCTTAGAGAAGATGTTTTTGAAAAGCGACAGTTAAGAGTCAGTCAGGTTTTAGACTCAGAGAAGTAAAGAGTCAGGTTTGAGACTCAGAGAAGTAAAGAGTCGGGTTTTAGGCTCAGAAGAGAGAAGAGTTAGGTTAGGAGGAGTGAACAGTCATGTAGAGAGAAAGTGGGAAGTAGAGAAACAGTGTTTGGTGAATAGTCAGAGATTTCTTCAGTTAGGAAAGCTGAAGGGGAAAACCTTATTAGTTTCTTTAGTTAGAAAGAACTAACAGAGGCTTGTTTGGATCTCTAGTTAAAAAGAACTAGAGATCTGGTGTTTGATCAAGGAAGGATCAAGCAGGGAGACTATTCACCACAGAAAACATTGTTTAATAAAGTGCTTCACCACAGCAAGAGTTTTATAAGTTGTAACATCGGAAGTCTGAACTGTATCGCAACCAAGTTACATGTAACGTTCTCCAAGTATTTGCCAAGCTTAACATCAAACTGCAACCATACGCTTTGTTTCAAAATAAACTTGTTCTCTTTGGTTTTTAAAACTGCCTCATCTCCATTAATTCTACGTTCGGTGTACCCAATCATACAAAATTACCTCACAACACAAATAGGGTGGCATCCAGTGGTATTAATACCAGAGCCTTTTACAAATCGGTGGCTCCTCTCTCCTAAACCTAAGCACCTCTTCGCAATTTGGTGGCGGCTCTTCGCAAATTAGCGGCTTCGTTACAAATTGGTGATAGTAGTTTTTACAAATTGGTGGCAGTCCTTTACACCACCTATGTGACAATTGGATTTAGGTTCTCCACAACAATGGCTACAAACTGGAAAGAAAACAGAGGTTTTTCAAAAAAGCAAGGGAATTTGTTTTTGAGGTTTGGTTTTTTTTTATTTTGTTAAAGAAACAGAATTTGTGTTGTTGCAAAAATTGTATCATGTTATCAGATGCATGTTATTCAATGTATTCATGGGTGAAGATATGTATTTCAGAAAACTGCCTTTTCAAAGGTAATTTACAAATATTTACAAGTATAAATATAGCAATAAAATAAACAGGACCCAGCATGATTTAGTGGCTTGAGCATTGGACCATAGCCAGGGCTTAGCTCCTCCCTCAGCTATGAAGACTCCCTCAGTCTGGGTAAGTGAGAGTCTTTCAGCCTCAGAGGAAAGCAAACACAGACTTTTTCTGCATAAATATTTCCAAGAAAGCAATGTGACAGGGTAAACAACTTGAAGATATGGAATAACAGATAAAACCAAACCAAACTGATCACAGAACCACAGAAATCAATATTTAAAGTTCAAATAATAATAATAATAATAATAATAATAATAATAATAAATAATTAGCCTGTTGTCTCTCCCCGAAAGAACTCAGGGCAGCTACAGTACCACTACAGGCTATTTCACTGTACATTTGCTGGCAGTGTCACCGTGCTAGAAGCAAAGTTCATTCTCCAAAATACTCCTATGTCAGAATGTAGGTCAAGCAACTCACTACCCTCCTCTCAGCTGTAAACCATCACTCGGCAACTCAGAAAGAACATGTAAACTATTTTCAGTCCAATTCAATTTTCCTGTAGTAACAATAACAATTCCTTGAAAGACAAATAAAGCTTTTCTTAATTATATCTATCAAATTATTTTTTTAAAAAAATCTTACCTTTTGAAGGCTAGTAGGATTTAGCTGTGTTTTGTCTATTATTTTCACAGCAACCTAAGTAAGGAAAGGAAATAAATCAACTGTTATCAAAAAGAAAGCTTATCTTAAAAAAATAAAAGCAGTGTGTATGTGTAATACTGTCATTTCCACATTTAGGATCTCTTCACACATCCCTTATGGGCCATGCGGTTGCTCCAGCAATTGCTGGCGAAAGGAAAGGAGGGCAGTGTACTTCGTGGTACACCGCTCACCCTCTCCACATCATATGGTAGTAATGGAATAGGGTGCACTGGCACCCTGTCCCCATCAACTGGGAGAAAGGACGGAAATGCATGGCAAAGCACATTGCCCCGCTATCGTTTCCCCCATCAAAAGGGGAGGAAAACACTTTCCTCCCCATGGTGGAGGAGGAAGCACCTTCTGGCGCTTCCCTTCCACTTCAGGAGGAATGTGGGCAGGGCCTGCCATGCGATGTCCGATGGCGCTTGGTAGGCCCTGCCTAATCCGCGGCTAAAAGTGGCAAAATGGGACTATTTTGCCTTGTGTGAAGCCGTACCCAGACATAATGCTAAACAATTATTTTAGTGAGTGTATTGAACCATGCACTCACACACTCCCTTCTGCATTCCACTGGTACGGACAGAAGAAACTCAGAAGTTTGTGATATCTTTTAAAAACAATCTCTAGGAATCTCTATGGCCTCCAGTGCGATTCTGAGGTCAGCTTCCAGGGGAAATAGACCACAAGTAGTGCTAGAAGATGTAGAAATTCCTAGATAAGCATTTTCTCAGGTATAAAAATAGCAAATTCTTCATTCACGGGGCTCTTGTGCCCCTAACCCTAGCGAACATAAAATATAACTGTAGTCTTACCTATGATCTACCATAATATATAACTTGTATTTCTAGCTTAATTCAACACGGGGGAAACTTAATTTCTATAAAAGGTGATCAATGACTTTAAAAAGTGGGTCAAATAGGCTCTCAGCCAACCCTTATCCATACTTTCAAAGCTTTCCCTCCACCACTCCCACCTTTACTGTTCTCAGCCCACGCTGCCTATTACAAACCCTTACTGCTTTCTCGATGGAAGATCATAGTGGAAATTATTTGTTAGAGGGCACTCTGGACAAATTTCAGCAGAATTGCCTGAAGGAAGAGGCACACAAGGGAGCCTCGGCAATTCACAAAAGAAGAATACCCAACACTGAGAAGTTGTCAGTTCTTGCTTTCAGGAAATGCCAAGTGTTTAGGAGATGTAAAACATTGGACTCCACGGCCAGAAGCACCACCAACCATTACTCCAGTCACATCAGAAAAGGAAAAGAAAAGGAATGAGATTGAGGTTAATTCAACCTCAATGGGGTCACTATGAGGACTTATGGTTTTGAAAGCTTAAAACACAGGGAACGGAATATCAGCAAGCAGCATACAGTCAGCAGCAAAGAAACGATACCTAAACACTTGAAATTTAATAGGCAGACTGTATAAATATTTGGTATTTCTGGTTGTAGCAACTGGGGTGTTAGGAAAAAAGAATTTCAGAATATTTTGATTTTCACCTCAATGTTTATATTTCTGTAACAGAGCCAGTGTTTGCAGATTAAATCTCAAGTTTCTATGCAAATATATTTTTTCTGAGATGGCTGCAACTGTATACATCAAGAGGAAGCTGAACTCCCCATGCTTTCCTGCTGAAATCATTTTTAACATTTTTGTCCTAACAGGGATTCTTCTTAATCCAAAAGTCATATAACAAGATAGTATTTCTAGTAACATTGTTTCACTTTTATCCTCACCATGCCCACCTTATGTACTCTCCACACGAATTACATAATTCAGAAAAACATATGGAAATCCCAACAGCATCCAGAAAACCGTTGCCATAATGGCTCATTTGACTCTAAGAAAAGCCTGTTTGTTGATTTTCAATCAGAGTCAAAGAATAGTCATTTTACAGAAGAAAGGCAAGGGAGAAGAAGGTAACACAGTCTATTGTTACAAAAAAAAAACCCAATGAAAATGCTTACCTCTCTACCAGTTAGAACATGTCTAGCAAGCTTTACTTTAGCAAAATTTCCTTTTCCTATTGTTTTTAACAAGCGATAATTCCCAATGTGAGGATGGTCTTCGTTTGTAGATGTAACTGAGTTTCTGCAACGAGGTATGTTCTGTCTGCTACTTGATTTCGTGGGCTGTACATGGGGCTCAGTATAGCCATCAACAGAAGTGTGCTGTAAGATTAAAACAACAACAAAATTACAAATGTTGGTTTGCATGGGAATTTTGAAGCAAGTGCAGTAAAGCAACAGAATGATCCATTTCATTGAACAATTGTGAGAGTAAACCAGTTCACAAATCTAAGAAATCTCAATACATAATATATATTATACTCAATATTTTACTTTGCATATTGTTTCCTAATTGCTATCATGTTTACCCTCCAAATAAAACATTACCAAAACTGAATCAGGGTGCATCACATTATAGAATTCATGCAGTTTGATACCACTTTAATTGCCATGGCTCAATTCCATGGAATCATGGGAGTTGTAGTTTTGCGGTCTCTGCTACTGCCTCACCAAACCACAAAACCCAGGATTCCAGAACACTGAGCCGTGGCTGTTAAAGTGGTGTCCAACTACATTAGTTCAACTCTGCACATGCACCCTAACTCAAAGAAAATTTAAGAGAAAGTTTCAAATAAGCAGAACATAATGTTATCCAGCATTTATCTTTCCTCTCCATAGTCCTACAAACATAATATACATAGTGAATAAAATATATTTAAATATATCTATCTTCTTCTATATGCATAATAAAAGTGAAAATACGTATGTATGTGTGTGACTGGGGTGTCCACTTACACAGACAGGTTCCCATTTCCACAAATAGCTATAACTCCCACTACTCAGGAGACACCAATGGCCCTCCCTCCAATGACATTGCAGGTTATGGAGACTGCCGTAAACATGTATAAGAGCTCTGCCAGTGTCCTCCACAAATGCCATACTGCCCATCACTCAAGTGAAGGCTTTCATACAGGGATAAATTCATCATAGATTTTCTGTTTTTCCTCCACCACAGACATCCCAGTGTGTCTTACTCTCTCCATTAGTGTGGAATTTGTATGACCCCGCCCACTGCCTCTGCCATAACTCTTTCCTATTCTTTTCTATGGCACACAGCAAACAGAGGAATTGTTCAGCAACTGAACATACTAAAGAGGTTTGGGGAGAATTCAGCATGATTTATAGGAGTTGTAGGTACTGGGATGCATAGTTCACCTGCAATCTAAGAGCACTTTGAACTTCACCAACGATGGACCTGGAACTAACTTGGCACACAGAACCCCCATAAGCAACAAAAAATACTGGCGGTCTTTGGGGGAAGTTCACCTTGATTTGGGGGAGTTGTAGTTCACCTACGTCCAGAGAGCACTGTGAACCCACACACCAATGAATCTGGACCAAACTAGGCACACAGACATAATATGATGAAATTTGATTATTGAAGAGATTTGGGGGGAACTGGACTTCCTTTCTGGTAGTTGTAGTTCACCCACAACTAGAGAAACTGTGTCCTCCACCAATGATGGACCTGGACCAAACTTGGCACACAGGACCCCCATGACCAAGTGAACCTACTGTAGGGGTTTGAGGAGACTGACTCACCAAAGTGGGAGTTGTACTTTACCCTACAGCAAGAGAGCACACTGAAACCCACCGATGATACATGTAAAGCAAACTTGCCCAACATAACAAACTTGAAGTACTGATGGAGTTTCTTGGGATTAACCTGGTATGATATCAGCTGTACTTAATCCACAACCTTATGCATTTTGTATAATCAAAAAACTGACTTTGTCAAACAACCCGGGCAATGCCGGGTACCCAAGCTAGTAAATATATAAATATTATTAAACAGTTGAAAGTTTTAAGGATAATCATAAAAGCTGGTTATTTTTTTCCTTGGGTAAATGTCAACAATGACTATCGAATTATGAGAAGCATGTTGCTAACAGTTTCACTTACACCAATGTAAAATCATGCAAAGAAATCAAGAGAAATAAGCCACTTAGGAGCTAGTAGACTATTAGATAATCATGTAATTAAGGGAATTCTAAAGAAGAATAAGGAGATTGAAGAGAAGCTGAATAAATTCTTTACATCACTCTTTGCTGCTAAAAATATAAGAGAAATTCACTCAGACTAAAAGTTCCAGTAAGGAAACATGAGGTGATGTGTTAAATAGTAGAGACCACAGAGGGAGTTTGAGACCTTCCTGACAAATCTGAAACAAATATATATCTTGGTCCAGATGGTATTCTCTTTAAAAACTCCAAAGTGAAGCACGTCCCCAAGATCAACTTTCTGAGAACTAGAGAGTGACCTTTTCCATATGCTTGATCAACATGATTTCTGAAAATAAAGGTGTGAACTGTTGTGTTCTGATAAACATTGTCAATTTCAGCTTCCACATGGCTTCTGAGGAAGTTAGACTCCTCAGTAAATTTAACCGTGATGGGATAAGAGAAGATGTCTAATGCACTAAAGACTAATTAAAGAACAAGATGGCATGTTTGAGTCCATGAAGAAGAGCTGGTTGAAGAGGAGGTAAGAGAAGCAAGAATAAATTATCAGATATCACAATGGAAAGATTTGAATAGGGGACCCTTGTACATGTAACTGGTGCTTTCCAATTTGTTCATAAATTATGCCCATTTCTGATGATGCAACTAAATTGTTTTGAATATTGAGAATAAAACCAGATTCTCAAGACATCTAAAATGATAAAATGGAGCCCCTGATGATGCAATGGATTAAACCCTTGTGCCAGCAGGACTGAAGACCGACAGGTCGGAGGGTCGAATCCGGGGAGAATGCAGATGAGCTCCTTCTGTCAGCTTCAGCTCCCCATGCGATGACATGAGAGAAGCCCCCCACAAGGATGGGACATCAAAACATCTGGATGTCCCCTGGGCAACGTCCTTGCAGATGGCCAATTCTCTCACACCAGAAGCGACTTGCAGTTTCTCAAGTCCCTCCTAACACACACACACAAATCTAAAGTGATGTTTCCAAATACGCTAGAACGCAAATAAAATGGCAAATAAGATTAAAAGTAAGCAAGTGGCAATGTATGATGTATACTTAGAAAAAAGAAAATCTCCACTTATGGGATGTGAGTTGGCAGCAACTGACCAACCCGAGCAACTGCCAACTTGCAGAACTTTAAAAGGGGATTGCATAAATTTATTGAGGATGCCATCATTAATGGCTAATGCCATGCTCAATAAATTAATGGCTAGCCAGGATGGTTACATGTCATCTCCATTATCAAAGCCAGCATGCTTTCATGAGTTGCCAAGGAGTGCGAAATGGAGGATACAGCTGCATTCATGTCTTGCTGGCAAGCATACCAGGGATAACTGGTTCTGAACAAAAGGCTGAATTGGCTAGACCTTTGGTCTGATTCAACACGGCTTTTACATTCCTACAAAAAGGTGATAACCAAGATCCAGTGTGATCAGTTTTCAAGTCTACACATTAACAAAGACACAAGATACAACATGTGTATGGATCTAGTGACGGGCATTCCAATTGAAGATGCAATAGACCCCTGTGGGTTGGATCTCAAGCAGTAATTTCACATGCTAATTAATGATAAAGGCATCCTGAATTGCTATCTCACATTTTGCCCCTTGTCACACAAAAAACTTTTTTCACAGCTCAATTTATTGTTTATTTATTTATTTGGTATATTTGTATCCCGTATTTCTCAACCACAGAGGAGTACTCAGGGCAGCTTCACAACAGGCATTCATTCAATGCCAACAACAGTAATAAATGATAAAAGCAATTAAAACAATTTTAACGCTTTAAAATTACTAAAACATTGTTTAAATCACGCAGGTTTGAAATCATAGTCCAGGTCAGTCCATTGTAATTCACACTAATTGGGTCTCATTCTAAATTGCTGCCTCTTCTGTTCAAATGCTGTCCCATAGTCAGATTTTGATCTGCACTTTTCTTTTGGAGGATTCCCCACCCTCCCCACTTTGCTGATACTCTTTTAACTATCCAAATGAATCTGATGTCATATACTCCATCATAATCATTCTATGGAATTTTGTATTTTTAATAATACATGGTTGGATTTTCATTTTCACCGTTCGTTTGGTTTTGGCTCTTGTGGAAACAATTGTGTGTGTTGTTTCCATAAAAACAATTGCTGTTTGCCAAAAGGATAAATAAAGCAAAAAATCAGAGTAACCACTGCATTATGACACAAGCTTTTTGTGCAGTCACAGTTTTGCATGTAACAAGCAAGTATTTTATGGGTCCTTTGGGTAAATAAACATTAGGGGAAATAAATGTGAAAGAGTTATTAATACTATATATTAGGGTAAGTCCCCGTGACATGTTAAACCTACCTGCAGCAACGAAATGTGTGAAAGGGGCTGTGTTTTGAATTTTGGCAGGTAGGTGTTCTTCAGGCAACTAGGTATTTGAAAACCAATGTGGTGTTGTGATTTGAATGCCAGATTAGAACTTGTGAGGTTCCAGTTCTTCATTTAGCAATGAAAACGTACTGGGTGACCTTGTTTCAGTTATTTTGTTTCAATCTGATCAACCTCACACAGATGGGAGGACCAAGTGGGGAGGGAAAACGTACTTTTTTCTTTCTTTTGAAACATTATATGAATGTATTATCTCACTTTCCATTCTCAGATCTATAATCCTCAACCCTCCTATTATACTAACATAGTATTATTTAAAAAATCCAATCAAAACTATATTATTCCAATGTTAAACTGTTAAACTGTTTCCCCTGACATTAAGTGTTGTGAACCAGATGCCTTAAAGGAGCCAGACAAAAGGTCCAAACAAAGTTTATTAATGTAACAAAAATGGCTTAGAAACACTTAACTCGGTGTATCTAACAAGAAAACAAAGTCTATAGCAAAACTGCTATGCAAAAACGTAACTAGTAGATAATCCAGATTATCCTGGAATATAATCCGGGATAACGAAAAGTTCAAGCAAACTGCTCCAAAGTCACAGAGTTCTTAAAGCACAAAGTAACAAGGTGGAAGCAAGCAAAAACGTAGTCAGAAAACAATCCCAAGTCGAAGCACGGTCAAAAGTAGAAGTTAAGGTCCAAAACACGATGTCGTCGTCCAAAAACAATCCGGAGTCAAAAGGGAGGTTGAAGCCATTTCAGAATCTGA